TCGGCTGCGACGTGTGCCAAGACGTCTGCCCCTGGAACCGGCGCTCGCCCGAGTCGCCGCTCCCCAGCTTCACGCCCCGCCCCGACTCCAACCCGATGGACCTGGCGCCGCTGTTCGAGCTCGACGACGCCGCGTTCCGCCGCCGCTTCCGCAAGACCCCGTTGTGGAGGGCCCACCGCCGGGGACTGCTGCGGAGCGCCGCGGTGGTGCTGGGCAATACAAGGCCCTCGGGCGGCATCGACATTCTGGCGACCGGCCTGCGGGACCAGGAGCCGCTGGTGCGCGGCGCCAGCGTGTGGGCGCTAGGGCGGTACGGGTGCGGGCGGTCGCTGGAGCTGGTGCGGTCGCTTGCCGACCAGGAAGCCGATCCGGGTGTGCAGGAAGAGATCCGGGCCGTCCTCGCCGAGTCTTGCTGAGAGAGCACGCTGAGCGGTGTCGTGTTGACGCCCCGCAGCGCCTGTCGTCAGAATGGGTCAGATGCAGCTCCCGCCCCTCAACATCGGTCCGATCGCGCTCGACTTCCCTGTGGTTCAGGCCGCCCTCAGCGGCTACAGCGATGGCCCTATGCGGCGCATCGCCCGCCGCCACGGCGCCCCGTACACCCTGTGCGAGGTGATGCTGGACAAGTTCGTGGCCGAGCTCAAGCCACGCCGCAAGACGCGTCATTTCCTCCACATCGCCGAGGAAGAGCACCCGGTCGGTGGCCAACTTATGGGCGCCGACCCCGCCATATTCGGCCCCGCGGCTGAGCGGATGGTCGAGGCCGGGTTCGACGTGATCGATATCAACTTCGGCTGCCCGGTAAAGAAGGTGCTGGGCCGCTGCCGCGGCGGCTACCACCTCAGCCAGCCGGACGTGGCGCTCGAAATCATCCAGACGGTCCGCGATACCGTGCCCGACCACATCCCCGTGACCGTCAAGATGCGGCGGGGGATCGACGACACGCCCGAGAGCCGTGACAACTTCTTCCACATCTTCGACCGCGCCTACGAGATTGGCGTCGCGGCGACCACCGTGCACGGTCGGACCGTCATGCAGCGGTACGACGGCCCCTCCCGGTGGGAATTCCTCCGCGAGCTGAAGCAGCACGCCGGCGACCGGGTGGTGCTGGGCAGCGGCGACCTGTTCACCGCTCAATCTTGCCTAGACATGATGGAGTACACCGGCGTCGACGGCGTGACAGTCGCCCGCGGGGCGATCGGCAACCCGTGGATCTTCCAGCAGGCGCGCGCGTTGTCGGCGGGCCAGCCGCTGCCAGCCCCTCCGTCGCTGCACGAGCAGCGCGACGTGATCGCCGAGCACTACCGGCTGGCCGAGGAGCTGTACGGCGCCGAGCGGTGCGTGCCCGACATGCGCAAGTTCGCCATCAAGTACTCCAAGCTCCACCCGCAGCACGCCGAGGTCCGCGCCGACTTCTGCCGCGTCAAGCAGCCGGGCGCGTGGATGGAGATCCTCGACAAGTGGTACTCGGACGACCTGCCCGGCGTTCACCCGGAGGTCGAAGAGCCGAACCCGCTGGCGAGCGAGGCCGCGCTCAGCGTCTAGCGGGCGACGGCGAAGTCCGCGTCCTGGTGTTTAGCCAGTAGCTACGGGCGTACTCCTCGACCTCGACGATGCCGTGGAGGCTCTCGCTGCTGCGTTCGCCCGAGAAGCGGTCCGCGGCGGACAACAGCTCCACCCGGAGCGCGCCGCCGAGCAGCGCGGCCCGGTCGAGCTCGCGGACGATCGCCAGCGTGGTGCGGCGTTGCGGGTAGAGCGGCGCCAACGATTGATCGAGCGACCACTCATCCAACCGCAACCGGCGCCAGCCGGCATCGCCCGAAGACTCCTCGACCTCGTCCGCACGCAGCGTGTCGGGGAGCCGCTCTAGCACGCTGGCTCGCACTAGCACCTCCGTCCGTTCGCCGCCCGGTGCGTACAGCCCCCACGACGGCCAGCGATCCCACACGCCCAGCGGCCGAGTCAGCGGACCGATTGCCGCAATCCCGACGATGGCAATCGCCACCTTGGCAGACCACCCCGGCGCCACCGCGGTGCTCGGCTCAGCCGGCAGGCTCTCACCGGCCGCTGACTTGATCGGGCCGAACAACAACCACAGGTGCGCCGGGAACACCAGATTCCACAGCAGCACGCCGGGACGATGGTTCAGTCCGAGCGGGCCGAGCGCGACGAATGCCGACAGGTGCATGAAAGTCGCCAGCAAAAGGCCCGCGGTCCGGGTCCGCCGCCAGGCAAGCAGCAGGCCCGCAACCGCCTCGGCGACCGGCATCGCCAGCGCCAGCGAGAGCAACAGCCAACGCGGCCAGCCAGCAATCTCCAGCCCAACCAAGCCGGCAGCCGCCTCGAGCATCTGCCGGCCGAGGGTCGACGCGAACGCGAAGTCGAGCTTCGCGATGGCCGAGTAGAGGTACACGCTCACCGCCAGCACACGCAGCAGCGCCACTGCCAGCCGAGGAGGCGACAACAGCAGGACCGAGCCCATCACTAGCAGATGGTAGGCCCACGGCTGCCAGCGGAGCTGATCGAACAGCATCAGCCCCGCCAAGCCCACGCACCCGTACGCGAGCCCGACCGCCTGCTTGCCCCTGACAACGCACAGCGTCCCCCAGGCTACCGCGCCCAAGAGGACGTACTCGGCGAACATGGGCGCCGGCGTCAGCAGCGACAGCGCTGGGATGGAGGGCAACGCGGTCCGGCCGCACCAGAGCGGCCAGGTCACGCCGATCAGCAGCGGGGTCGCCAAGGCCCACAGCCACACCAGGCGTTGGCGGCGGAGCGTCGCCTGGGCGTCGTCGATCGGGGGCGGCTGCGTGTCCACGACGCCAGCATAGGCCAACCGGCCTAGCGCAGGAATCCCGGCAGGTAGGCCTTCCACCCGCGTGTGGTGCGGGGCGCCTCTTCCTCGTTGGTCTTCTCGTCCTCGGCCAGGACCGGCGCCTGCCGCTCGACAAGCGGCGTGTGCCGCTGCAGGAACTGCGCCCAGTAGCCGTCGAGCGTGTCCTGACAATCGGTCACGCGACCATCCGCGAGCGCCGCCTTGGCGGACTGCAGCACGTTGACCAGCGCCAGCCGCTGACGGCGGGCCTCGGGGCCGAGCTCGTAATCTAACGGGAACGACAACGCGTGCAGCTCCAGCTTGTCAATCGACACCTCAACGTTCTTGGCGTCGAACACGATCCTCATCGGCGTCGCGGCGCCGAGCGGCAGGTCCTCGGCGAACACAAACTGCCGCCAGCTATCTTCCTTGGCCAGCGTCTCGGCGCTGATGGTCGTGAACAGCTCGTCCTCGGTGTTTCCGGTGAGGTAGCGGATGGTCAGGCTGCTGTCTCCCGACTTGCGCTTTGCCCGCACGAAGAAGGTCATCACGAGCTGCCGTGTCTCGGGCGGGGTGAACGGCGTGCTGGCTAGCCGCACCACGGCCGGACCCGCCGTGATCGACACGCTCGACTCCCCGTCCACCGCCCCGTCGGTCGTGGCGGACACGACGCCCTGGTCGCCCTCGCTTACCCGGGACCAGCCCGCCGGCAACCCGTCGGCCGCGACCTCCTCGAATGATAGATTCGCGCAGCCGTCGAACGTCGACTTGGCGTTAAGGTCCCGCAGGCCTAGTTGCTCGACCTCATCCCCCAACGCTTCAAGCGCGTCGGGCTGCTCCTCGAGCCGCACGCCGGTCACCGCGACGTCGCGGCTGTCGAAGCGGTAGACGGCCACCCCGTGGGCCGGCAGGTCCAGCGGCAGCAGGTGCTTGCCGGCGTCGATCCGCGCGATGGGCGTGGAGGATTCGGCGTCGGCCGCCACCCTCTGCACCGAGCTCGACCCCGGCGCGTCGAGCGTGAACGTCGCCGACAGGGGCCAGTCGCTCGGGTTCGCCGCCAGCAGGCAGACGCCGTGGTCGTCGGACAGCGTCCAGCCGGCGAGCGGCTGGCTGGCGGATGCGACGCGGGCGTCGCCCTCGGCGGGGGTTTGGCGTGCTAGCCGGCGCAGCGTCCGCCGCTCTTCCGACAGCGTGAGGGCGGTGGCGTCCTCCCAGACTTCTCCCACCGGCGCTTTGCTCAGCAGCGACACGGCGGCGGCCGTCGCCTGGCGTCCGAACGCGATCCGCTGCAGTGTGGTGGCGGTGAACGTCCGGTCGGCCCCAAACGGGCTGCGGGCCTTGAACCCGGGCAGGCCTGCCAGACGCTTAGAATGGAGCAGGGCCGATGCCTCTAGCGGCTCGGCCCGCGGGGAGTCGGTCCACAGCAGCGTGTTCTGCTGCATCGCCAAGGCGGCGTGGTTGAGCTGGGAAGACAGGTCGGCGTAGCGTGGAGAAACGACCACTAGATTGGGTGGCGTGGCCAGCAGCTGACGGTCGACGCCGCGCCGCAGGAGCAGCGAGTCGAGCGAGATCCGCTGCTCGAGCCGGGGCCGCAGCGCGTCCCGCCCGGAGTCGTCGTCCAGCAGACCGTCAATCAGCAGGTGCAGGTTGGCGGAGGGTTCCGCGGCCGCGACCTCTCGCGCCATCTCTCCATAGAGCGAAGCCATCGACGCCGCCCGCCACTCGCGCCACGGCCCGCTGAGCGCGCCGCCCAATGCCCGGCGGACGTACTCGGGGGTGCGGGCCGTTTCGGCCGGCCAGCTGAGCTGCCGCGCCGAGAGGAACGCGTCGACGGTCGCCTCGTCCGCGCCCATGAGTTCGCCCGGGAGCGCTGCGTGGCAGCGGGGGCTGAGGCGCACCGCGACGCCCGCGAACGACGCGTGCGCCCGGCACTTGCCGGCGACCTCGGCGACCGCGCGGACCAGCTCCCGCCGCACGCTGGCGTTAAGGGGGTTGTACTGCACGGGCCCTTCGCCCGCCCTAAGGCCGGCGGTGTCGAGCAGGTCGACCGACGCGTCCCCGGCCCGCCGCGCGGCCTCGACGGCGGGCATGGCCGACGCCAGGTCCATCGCCAGCGTCAGCTTCAACCCGCGACGATCAAACTCCCGCAGCAGCAACTCGATCAGGTCCTTCCTGGGGACGTCCACCACACCGGTCGCGACTCCCTGCCAGTCGAGCCCGGCCTGGTTGCCCAGCACGGCGGTCGGGTAGAGCGTCCCTTCGGCCGTAGCGACGGTCACTACCGCGCCGTTGAAGCCGGCGTGCTCGACGTAGTCGGCCAGGCGGGTCGCGGTGTCGTAGAAGCAGCTCCAGTCCTCGTACACGTAACGGCCATCGGACGAGGGCATCTGCGTCGCGCCCAGCAGCCGCGTGAGCTGGCCGTCGGCGAAGCAGGCGGGCAGCGGTCGTTCGCTCCGATTCGTCGCGACGCCCGCCTCGTGGGCGAGCGAACGGACGCGCACCTTGCCAAACATCGCGTCCGTCTGGCCCGAGTTGCTGACCACCAGCATCGGCGAGTCCGTCTTGGGCCAGAATAGCCGGCGGATGACGACGACCTCCGCGCTGCTTTTGCCACGGCCCCCGCCGGTGGCGGCGGAGAGCGAGTCGCCCAATGGGGCGGCGCGGCCAATCGCGTCACGGTCGAACAACGCCAGGTCCAGCGACTGGGGTGAGGAGTCCGGCGCCTCGATCTCCAGCAGGTGGGGTTCGCCCGGGCGGTCGATTGGGAGTGGGTAGGCCTGCCAGCGGACCTGATTGGGGTCGTCGGCGCCCGCGAGGCGCACCCATCTACCGGACTCGGTCGTGGCGACTTCTGCCGGCTCGCTGCCGAGCGGCCCCTTCGGCAGCCACGGCACCCGGCGGGTCCACTTCCACTCCGGCATGCGTTGCCACCAACGCGAATTAGTCGGGTCGATCTCCACCACGGTGGGACCTTCGGCGGACAGGCGGGTCACGCGGTTCTCATCCCAGACCACAACCTGAAACGTCCGCTCGGCGAGCGGCTTGCTGGCGCCCTTGCCCCAGCCACGCATGAACCCAGACGGCCGGCGGGCGCTGAGCCGAACGGTGTACACGCCCTCGGCCTGCGGCATGGTCAGCGATAGGGCGCCACCGCAGCCGCCGCTGGCGTCGGCGGTCGCGCGGTGCACAACCGACTCGATCGCGTCGCCGCCGCGGCCGGCGGAGAGCTCGGCCTGCAGGTCGATAGGCGAGTGCGCCGGAAACCCGGCCATCGCCGCCTCAACGTCGAACGAGAACGCCTCTCCCGGCGAGAAGATGAACCCCGGCCGGTCGCTTCGGACCCGCAACACATCGGCGGCGGCGCGGTAAACCCGCAGCGTGCCCCCCGCGTCGGACAGCGTGCCCTGAAAAGGTTTCGCGGCCACGTCCTGCAGCGCAACTTCCGTGGTTATTGGCGGCTGGCCAGGGGAGTTGAGCTCGATCTTGAGGACCGCGTCCGACGGTCCCCTCGCTGTCACATCGAAACCGCCGCTCGGCCGTGGGCTGCCGGCGGAGATCACCACCGTGTCGCCGTTCTGTTGGGCGATGGTCGGCGAGTCGGCCCTCCCTCCCCACGGACGCGGGGCCGAGAGCACGCCGCCGTCGAGTGACGCAACGCCGCTCCAGCCAACGCCCGACTGCCCGGTTTCCCAGTAGACCCGCAGACGGAGTTCGACGGCCTCGGCCGGGT